CTCATGAGAGAGTCTTTATGCTTTCTCAAGCCCTATACACATGCTGTAACAGATTATTTAGTTCTGTTTTTTATTCGGGGAGATGAAAATGCTTCTTCTGTGCCATTACTATGGACTAGCTTTGAGTGCCAAGCAAAGATGAAAGAAAATTCTAAAACTTAAACAACCATTCTGGGTTTGAAAGTTTATTTTTAAAACATGGACAAAGGAGAAGAGCTTGATGTTCTGGTTTCTAACTGATACTAAAATTTTTATACCAGGCATATCAGTTGTTTGAGACATTAAAATGTGAATAGTAACTTCTCTTTCTCAGACTTCTATCTCAAATCCATAGTCCCATCCAATGTAAAAATCAAAACAGGCTTTCTTCTGTAATAACATTTCTTGGTAGAGGCCAACATGCTACCTGCCTTGGCTCTGCTGTGATTTGTTGAGGAGTGAGCAGTCAGTGTTAGCTGACACTCAATCCTGAGCTGTATCTTACTCTTCTTCTTCTGAACCCTTACAGTCTTCCCAAGGAGGCAGCCTGAACCCTTGCTTTAAGCTTGTGATCGGCCAAAGATGCAACGTAGAAATGCATTAGAGAGCTTAAATCTACCTTATAAGACAGCATTTGTTCTTGTTTTTTATACTATGTGTTTGTGCTATATATAGCTCCTTCCTGTTTCCTCTGAAAATAAATCTTTTGCTGACCTGCCTTATGGTGTAGCCTCTTATTTGAAATGAGAACATTTTGACTGAGCAATTTGATTTAGGAAGATTGATCATTTTAATGATGGTGTTAAAATAATTAGCTTTGATCTCTAGACCTTCAACCTCCGTTGCTCCTCGGGTGAGTTGGCATCAGCCAGCAGCTACACACCCACTCAACTGCTCATGCACTTTGAGAATTTAACTTAATTTATTGCCTTAATGTATTTAATTGCTGATTTGAGTATTGGGAAGCAAAGAAGACAAACATTAAAGCATCTTTCCTTCCCCTTTCCCAGGCTCAACTGCACTCCAGACACATCTCCACTCTCGTTATCTCCACAGGTTGCATTCAGTCCCTTCAGTGAGGCGATGAGTGGCACGGAGGGCTGTGGTCAGGATGTAGTGTTTTTACTCTGCCTTTCCTTGTTTCTCAGCCTTGTCTTCTGCTGCTGCTTCCTTCTTACTCACTTCCTCTGCTCCAGTGTGGTCTGTCTGTGGACCACAGTCCCCTTGGGGGCATGCCTGCACTGTCATGATGCACCTCCAACACCTCTGATCATGTTGTCCCCACATTCCTCTCTTTCTATCCCTGTTGACTTGTTCCCTTGTTTCCTCTTTATCCCCTCAGGTGTTGTCTCACAGGTTGGTCTCTTCCCCTCTGGCCCCTTCCTCGGTATGTTTTCACAGGTGCTGGACATGTGGCTGATGGGATTTGCTTTGGTATGTGGTGGGTCCATTGTAGAGCTAGCTGGAATTGTCTGTGACCAGCACAGGACAGCCTTGACCTCCTCTGCAGGAGCCACTCCTACAGTTTCATGACCAGGATAAGTGGGGAGCACAGGAAGACGGAACAGTAATTGCCCAGCTTCAGGTAGAGATGTAGGAGTAGGCAGGTCAGACTGCATCATCAGAGGACCTATTAGGACATCATCTATGGGAAAGAACCCAGGAATGATCCTGAAGCTCATTCATAATTTTAAATCCACTACATACTTCTACTTCAGAAATTAACTCACCCATGAAAACTATGCTTTTCCATGTTACAAAGTAAAGTTAAATGTATGTGGAAAAGAAGTTAATTATGGAATCTTATTTTGGACTGAAATACAGTGCTGAGTCCCAATTTAAAGTTTTAAGAGCACAGTTGCTCGTTAATTTTCCTTTATAAGCACAAATCACACCAGAGAAGTGCTACAAAATGGAACTTGTTGTTCAAAAATTCACATACATGTATTCATGTATTTCACTAAAAAAAATAGTTATTTTGAAGCTTTGTGGTGCAGATTTTGAAAAAGCCACTTGCAACAGAAAACAGCAGAAATGACTGATACTATCATTGGCTTCAAGTTACCGCCACTCAGCATTCATAGCCAGGCTAGTTCTTGGCTGTGGTTCTTGGTTGAGGGAGTATAGATAACTATTTTAAGAGGTAATTATTATTTTATAGCAGTTTCATGACAAATGCTGAGGAAAAATTTTATAAGGTACCTCTGAAAGACCTGGCTGCAAAGTGCTGTAGCACAGCATAAACTGTGTCAACAGTTTTGTACTGAAAAATACGGAGTTCTCATCCTGTAGGATGCAACACCATGGGTTGTAGCTGCTCAAGAAGCAAGTGGCAAATCAGCAACTAGGGCTTGCCTGAATCTCTACTGAATACTTCAGCAAATGCTTTAGAGCTAGACCTGAGCTACAAATATGAGCTTTGAAGCAGAGTTCAGAAATGCCCTCAAGCTCTTATTTTGAGGTCTAGTTTGGTCTGTTTCTTACACTGATCTAAGCAGGAGGTTCATGTGAAACCTCAAAGTCTACTGCAGTCTATGCAGGGCAGGTGAGAGTTGCAGGTTTTTGTCCTAGACACACCATATTGGTGACAGATCTGTTCGGATGTGCCACAGCCAAAAGGGATCTCTCCCAATGCTTAGAATCTGCATGTTTGGGACAACAGTTAAAACATTTAATTTTATTTTCTATCAGTATAAATCACCTTTCTTTCATGCACAATGAAGGGCCACGCTAGCAGTTTACTCTACCTTTAGTTTCAAAAAAATCCCTAGCCAAAGCACTTCCCTAAAATCAACTATTTAATGCAGCCCCTTTGCCAGCCATTGCTGTGGGAGCTCAGTCCTTCATTTATTTATGAGACTAGACAGATTCTTGTCTTGCGTGGGGCACTGAAATTCTAGGTAAGTGTTCAGACTTTTTTTTTAAAAACTTAAGGTGTGACTTTTTCTTTTTTTGTTACGAATTCAGCTGTGTAAATGGTATGACCATTCAACAGTACCTTGCAGACACTTGTACATTTTAAGAGGCATCAACAGTGACTGTAGATGTTCCGTTAAGGTTACCAAGTATCCATATGGATTTTGAGATAGTCAAACGCAATTTAAGGAAACAGAATTACTTAAAATTAGGGGAACACTATGCAAGTATATTTACAAAGGAGATTCATGTCTTTAATTTCTACAGCTCTATACCCCAAGAATTCGGGGCCACCATTGCAGCTAAAGAATTAACGTGGCCCATTCTGGTTTTGGCATAAAATTAGATCAGTTTGTTGAAATACTTGTCACACTGAAGTCAAAGATAAAAATCCCACTGAATTCAGTGAGGGCAATTTATAGAATCACCAGGATTTCACTATATATTCTTGGTCCTCAAGATTTAAAAAACCTTTTTCAGATTTTGATAGTACTTTATAACACACTTATCTGAGGCACAATTATCAGGTTAGAACATTCATGGTTAGCCTCAGGTAAAATTCTTCCTCATTATATTTATGTATCTTGTCTCTCATCTGCATTTTAAAACATCACACAGAGACCAATCTTACATCTGCTGAAATCACTGCCAAAATGTCCAGTATTTTCGAGAGAATATAATGAAGCATTTAATGAATAAAATACTGATATACTGATGATTATATTCATAATTTTGAAGTAATAATGCAAATGAGAACAGGAAAAAAACCTGCAAGACAATTAAACCTAATTATTGTAATGTGTAAGAAATATAAATAAAAAAGAGGCACTAAGGAATTGTTTCTGAGTAATGTTAAATATAAAGTATAATCCATGTTAACCTGGCTGAAAATACATCTATTTTACTGAACAATGAGATTTGTTTCTGGAACTCACAATTAGTTTAAGAATTTATGTATATTCATATACAGTCATATGCTAATCTGCATTTTGAAAAAAACCTACGCTTGTTTCAGCTGTGTCTGCAAACCAAAGGGATTTAAACACTTACATTTAATTCAGGTTGGTATTTTCTTTGGGAAATTGGTAGTTGTGCTACGACTGAACACAAGCAATAACACATTTTAACTTCATGATATCTTTTAAAAAAAATACGTTTACAATGATGTGGATAATAATCTAAAAGCTACAGTTATAAATGAAACTGGAAACTTTAGCAATGAAAAACTAGTATGAATTTAAAAAAAAAAAAAACAAAACAAAAAACCCACAAAATGCAATGTTGCAAGTATTTAATGACATTAAAATACTACTTTGTAATAATAAATTACTTTGTGATATTTAATGTATTTTATTTAATCATTAGCATTACAGAGTGATTTCATTTAGTCAATTTTATTTATGCTGAGAGAATGTTTATTTTGAAATGTACATTTTAAAAAATATTTTTTATTTTCAACAGGGATCAAATTTTTATATATAAATAATGGTAAGTCTACGATGCCTTTATTCTTTTTCATTATTGGTTGCTTCAAATATGCTACAGAAAAATCAGGCAAACTCAGATTTGGGGTAGTATTTTTAGCTTTTTAGAACAATGTGTTCTAAAACGATAGTAAACAGTTTTCTGATAATGCACACCTGGCTTCCTATACCTGCATAGTATAGCATTTTCTCTGCATAACAACTTCATAATTTGTGTGTAATATCTTTTTGTCGTGTCAATGTTATTGAATGATAACTTTGGCTTTGTAAATCATGTTATACATAAGTGATACATCCCTCTGTCTTACATGCTATAAAACACTCCTATAGCAGTAACACCCTTTATGTAAACTTCTGCAAATTAAGGAACTGAACCTTGAAAGATCTGCACGAGTGAGTAATGCTACCCGTGTGAGTTGTCCCACTGACCTCAGAGAGACTTCTCAAAGGAGTGAGAACTTTCTCATAATAGTAAATGACTATGGTGGTGCCTCAGTGCCTGCAAAATACATATTCCAGGAAGATGTATATTCACTGTATTTATTTGGGATTTTCCAGCTGGTAAAGTTGAAAGAAGTAGGTTGGTCTTTTCTGGCTTCTGACAGAAAAATGTTTTTGCAGAGTTTTCCTGACCAGGATGTGCTGGGCCAGGCTTTCGAAGATGCGCTAGAGGTCCTGCAGCAGCACTCAGACAGAGACATGCAGTATTCACCAGGTAAAAAACCACCATTATTCCGTCATTTACCACTTTGTATTCTTACAGGAAAGTACATCTTGAGGCATTTAGGTGAGAGAGTTAATTTTCCAGCAGTGGATTAATGGACAGCAGAGGTGTATGTTGGGAGGATGGAAAGGGAGAAGAATATTTGGAGGATGTTCACTCCTCCATCAGTACTCCTCAGTGTGGTGTGCATGTTCCATGCCACAGCACAGGGAAATTGTTGGACAGTCCTCCTCTACCTTCCCCCCAGCACTGGCCTCTGTACATTGAGCTCAAATTTCCTATAATCAGAGGATATATGACTGTAGTACAAGTGCCATTTACCAGTTTTAATAGCTGAAGTTAAATGTGTCTTTCTGTTATTCTGTGAATAAACTCAGGTAACAATGAATTCCAGTGGAAAAAAGAAAAAAAGGCTAAGAATCAAAAGGTGAAATTAATTTCCACAATTTTTTTTTTAACATTAAAATAGAATTTTAAAATATTTTTATGCAGATAGTTTGAGTCTGGAAAATTAAAAGACAAGTGTTTTTCTTGACTTCAAGAGTTTTATATGTTAAAAAATTTGAAATAGAGGCAAACTGTAAATTATTCTAGTTTGGGCAAGGTTTTGGCAATTAAATTATTATAAAATTTAAAATTTGTGTTTGGTGTTTTTATGTTGTAAATAGAAATGGAAAGAAAGGAAAATAGGACGCTACATCACAAACCCTTTAAGTCCAGAACAAAATATCTACTGTCTTTTGTGTAGAATATGTTTCATACAAGGAAGAGTATTTACATATTATCTGTCATATACCAAAATGTAAATAAGACCAACTGGGCCATGTCTTCAGCTGTTATTAATACATTTTTGGCTCCACTGCATTGGTAATTTACAAATACTCATGGACCCAGTATATAGGATTACTTGGAACATTCTTGCCCATATCTGTTATTAAGGCCAGTGCAGAGAGGTATTAAACACTTGCAAATTGGTGTTTACTATGTCCCACTTTCAGTAGACATACCCTCCAAAATCTTCTTCTGGCCATCTGCAGTTTGTAATTTATTCCAAGTGCCTCTGTTCAGTGTTCTCCTCTGCTTCTTGCAAACATCTTAATGTCTTGGGTTCCTTCCATGCCATTCTTTCAGGCCCTGCAGATGCTCTAATGCTCCTTCATTTCACTTGCAATTAGAGACTGACTTGTACCATACTAATGGCCTGCAGAGCTGTGTGATGTTCCCTTTTCCTTTTTAATACATGTATTATAGTAGTCCATAACTACCCCATTCATTATGCTTGGTGATCTTTTTGGCCTTCCATTTTTTATTAACTGTACTATCTCATGATACTATAAAATACGTGACATTTTGTCTTAACAAATGTTGCTTCTCATTGTGAAGGTGAACAAAACCAGCCAGGGGTGTGATCAGCAGTAAAAGTACAGATATGTTGGATAGCCTGCTCCCATGAAACATCTTGGCTCTAGAGACTTTATTATCTAGAAGGCAGCCATAGGATAAATGCTTTTTGACAGACCCAGCAGCATGTTAGATGGTTTGGGGTTTTTGTTTTGCCTTCTCCCCTTTTAATCACTCAGTTTTTGCTCCATTTTCCTAATACTCAGGTTATAAAAATTGCCTGACTGTGATCAACCATCATCACCACCTTCGAGCAAGTCCCAGTTACTCTGCATCACCATCTACAGAGGAGCAAGGGTATAGCTGGAGGAATGTGATTGTAAGTGAACTGATTACCAATAACAGAGACAGACATAAATGGAAAATTACTTGCCCATTTATGATTTCTAATACAAAATATTATGCTAACTCTAAAAGAAATTTGGTCTGGCCAGGCACGATTCAGATGAAACTACCTTGGGAAATATTCACAAAACATGTTTTATTGTCTCTTTTTATGAATCGTCTTAGATATATGCCTCTGGTGCCCTTCCGTGGCTCATCATGTAACATGATAACTAACAAACAAATCTACTACTAGTATGATAGGGAAATGGGCTTCTCACTGTTACCAGGAAGAAAACAACAACTTGAACCTCTGCATAGCTTCTGCTGCTGTGAGAAAGTACCATGCCTTTGGTTTCTTTAACAGTAGTTTTCTTTAAGAGTGCTGGGAAAAGCAGCTTTATCTGGATTCTGAACTTATATTCATTTTTAAAACACTGGGGGTGTGACCTTCAGGAATGAGGGAAGATGAACATTGCAGGGGAGATAATTTCAGGTAAACAGATTCCACAGGAGACCATGTTCAACCATCAGATTAGAGACTAGAGTCTGTAGAGGCACTGTCCAGGTGGCTCTTGTCTTTTACTGACATTGGAAATAGAGCCTACTGTTCCTATCTGCACCTAGCAGAAGGAAGGGTCAAAGGTCCAGAGTGAGACAATTGCTCTGTTTTCCCTTTTAATTTCTCCCATGGTGGGCAGTCCTTCCCACTGAACATAAACTAGTGCTGCTTGTTCCTAGTACAGTACACTGCATACCTCCATGGCTGAGGACAGTCTTCCCTGGGTGAGGTGATGGAAAGTTGCATTCTGAAGGCTTCAGACAATTAATTATTACAAGTTTGTTTTTCCTCAGAGAAAGTACTCTATTAATAACTCTTTCTTGTCTTCATTCTTGAAGAACAGTGCAACAGATTTTTATGCAGATGAGACTGTCTACCATACAATGCAGAATACTCCAGAAAGCCAAGTGACACATGCTGCTGCTGGGCAGTCAAAAACAGGGAAAGGTTTGTGGCAAGACTCTATCTTGATATCTACATTATGTTACTTTAAAAAAAATCTCTTGGCAAATCATGCTTTCTCTTTTTTCTGCTTTTTAAAAATTTTAACAGCAAAAAAATGTTAGCATTTAATAATAACTAGAATACAACTGCTAGTGTCCAATTCATAGCTGCCAAATCTCTTAAGGTAAGATAAACCTGTTATCATCTTATTCTTTCCTCTCGTTTAGTACATAGAAAAACAAACCCGAGATGTGTTTCACTCCAGATGATCTGGGATGAAGTCTGATGCAGATCAAGAACATCTTTATCCACTTTAATAACTTATTTTATTTCATGTGATCTAACAAGGAGTGGTTTTCTTGAAGGTTTTTCACATACAGGAATATTTTTGTGCCTGCTTTTATGTATTTCTTTGTTTACTTTTCAAATTACCTCTTGGCTTTTGTCACTTGCAGTGTGCATGTATATAGCTATTTTTGTGCTCCTTTTGGTTGACTCCATTTGAGTGGGTACCTGTTTTGCAAAGAATGGATCAGGTGACATTAGTCATTACAATACTTCATTTGGTAATTGCATTCATTCTTTTTTTTCTGTTTGTGAGTCAGCATCCTTTCCACAATTCTGTTAGATCTGAGAATTCCACAGCTTCCACTCTGAGCTGTTGCATCTCCTTTTGACTGTGAAGTCTTTGTGAGCAGCTTCCTGGTTTTGCTGCTTTTTGAAACCCCCTTCTCTCAACTTTAACCACATGGTGTCAGTTTTTGCTGCCATCTCTTCCCACTGATGCTGAACACTGTGGTTTCTGTTGCTTAACAGCTACTACTACTACTACTACTACAACTGCTACTACTACTACTACAGATTCCTTGAGAAGATGGGAAGAGTAGCCTCCCCTTTTAAGTTCTGTACTTCTACTACTTGAAATTCATCATTGCAAATGAAAACCATTCAATTCAGAAATGTTGCTTTTCTAAGTCCTGCTCATTGTTGCACTGGGGAAATTTACATGTATCTGAATTCATCTTCAGTTACTACTCTTAATAGCCTATTTAATATTTTTTAATATTATTATCTATTTTCTTTTCTAGAAGGCCATACTGCATAAATTTTCAGAATGACTGACTAGTCTTGTAGGGGTTTTTTTTTGTGTCCTCTTAAGGATTTCTTTATGGCCATGGTGATATTCCTGCCATGAACTTGTGATTTGGAGGACTATTTCTACTACACCTAAATAAATTCAGTCCTCCTGCATTCTAACTGAGACAGGAGGAGTTTTCTGTATGCTAGAAGGTAGTGTATTCCTATTCCCTTTAGGAACAGATCTGTAGATGAAACAATCAGTACTGAGGACCCAAAGTCTATATATGAAGTATTCCACAAGGGTTTATTTAGGGCAATCTCCAGACTGGCTTGGAGTTCTGAAAGCTGCAGGGACTTAGATATGCTTCTGGAGAGCATCTTTGAGTTAGGTTTCCTGTGAAAGGAGTCCAGCTCGTGCATGTCAAGACCATTCTGTGATCTGAACTAAAGTTCGGTGAGTGGAGACAAACAAGACAGATACTTCAGACATGCGTGCGAGTTTGACAGACCCAGAGAGAATTAGGCTGCTTTGGGACAATTCAGTGCAGAAATCTAATGCAGATGCTCTGAAAGACCTTCTGGAGGAGCCTGCTTCTCTCCACTGATCACATAAGAAACCTGTAGAGACCAGCCTTCTAGCTTAGACTGATGTTTAGGGCTACCACTAGCTTATATGGTTAAGTGTAGTACAAAGATCTGTGAACTAAGCCCAACTCAAGCTGGTGCATCCACAGCGTGTAGCACTTTGGAGATAACAGCTGGGCTTTAGATACATAGCTACATTAACACATAAGAACAAATAAGCCCTCTCAAACCAAGACATCAGCTTGAGGTAGCATGTCTACAAATAAATGCTTGGGCAGGAATGACAGCTGAACTAAGAGGGCAGACAGCATGAAATCAGATGCTGTTGCAGACATGGCTACACTATTTTTTTCCAGCAGACAGTCAGTCCACAGTAATCTGAGGATTCTCCACTGATCTTATTTTTTTACCATAGGTTCATAGGTTTATAGAATAATTTGGGGTGGAGGGGATATAAGGCAGTCACCTACCAAGAAGTGTTTACTGTAACCAGGCCAGTAAACTTTCACCAGTTTGATTTTAAGCTTCTCATCTGGGTAGTAATATATGCATTTCTAGCAGAATGTGTACTTCTAGTCTCAGGCAAATTTTTATTTAGATAATGAAACTTTATTAAATTTTTGGAAAGTACCTCTGATTTCAGGCTCTTCTTCTTCCTAGTCTGTCACTTCTCTCCTCTTTCCTTACCACCAGATGCAGAATTACTGTTATCCCTAACAGATGTCTTAGCTTGACCTCCGTGTTCCTTAGCAACTGCCACTTTTCCCCCGTTCCTGGTTTAAAATAGCCACGCAAGGCAAGACTTTATGAACTTTAGGTGCAGCTGCTTGTTTCCACTTCAGTTAAAGTGGAAGCTGTTCTTCTGCATAGACTCTCCTTTCTGCAAAATGTTCCTCTTTGTCTCATAATCTTAAATTCTTCCTCCTTATGGCAGCATCTTGGTCACCCTTGGCTTTGTGAAGGGAAGTAGATGTACTTCAGAGAGGGATCCACAAGACCCAAGTGAAACTAAATAAACCTCGCTAGTGAACTTGAGAGCTAAGCCTGTGGGGAGAAGCACTTTGTTAACTGACAAATATTGTAGTACTAAGCTTACTTTATTCTGCATGGGAATGAAAGTTGGCATTTCTGCATATTTTTAGAAAACTACAGGGTAGCAGAAGGTCTAGCCCCTAATTGACCAGGTGAAGTTTACTACTCAAAACTACCTTGGCCTTCCTATTCACCCTGTTTTACCTCTAAGACTTCCCCGGATCCCCAAAATGTTCCTGAAACAAACCTGCCAAATCTGAGTAATCTCAAAATCTTTGAGTTTTGATTAGTCAGGGAAAACACTTATTCAAAAATGCTCAGACGGACTCTCTTTCCTGCACTATTTGAGGATGATTTGATTTCCTGCAGTGGGATCCTTGACCATGCACCTGCACAGCATGTGTCTAAACACTGCTGAAATCAGCTTCTGAGACCTACCACACAATGAAGTCACCAGGTATTTGTCATGGTCCCCAGATAACCTACTCTTGAAACTCTAATGACCAAATCCCTTTCTGTCACCACAGATCTGTACATGTTTAAGAACTATAATCCCATTTGCCGTTGCTGGTCTTCCCTTGAAGAGTTCATGCTGATCTTTTAATTTGTGACAAAGTATTAGGTTTAACTATACTTTTGCCTGTTAGATCCCTTCCAGAAAAAAGACAACTGCTCTTCTTTTAAAACAAGAATGAGTTCTGTTCTGACCTTTTGTACTTTATTTCTTAATAGGCAGGAAAAAACTTCGACTGTTTGAGTACCTCCATGAGTCTCTATATGATCCAGCTATGGCAAACTGCATCCAGTGGGTGGATAAGCCCAATGGTGTCTTCCAGTTTGTCTCCAAAAACAAGGAGAAACTTGCAGAGCTGTGGGGAGAAAGAAAGGGAAACCGCAAGATCATGACATATCAGAAAATGGCCAGAGCACTGAGGAATTATGGAAGAACAGGTGAAATCATTAAAATTCGAAGGAAGCTGACATACCAGTTCAGTGCTGTTGTTTTACAGAGACTTCCTCCATCTTATTTCTTGGGAAAAGAAACAGTTTATCATCCATATATTCAGTCTAATCAAGAATATCAGTGTGCAGATGACTGGCTCAGTTACAATAATTACATGTATAACAATGGTTATGCATTACAGCATTCTAGCAGCTAGATATATAATTCGCACAAACAGGTCTTTGTTAGCTAGTAATACTTCACAGGAACTCTTCTCTGTACATCGCTTTTCCTTTAAGATATCACACAAACACATGAAGAGATATCACTTCAGATTCAAGCTGTTACATTCAAGATCAGAAGCAATGCTTTTGTCTGGTAGTGGACATCAAAGTTCCCATCCTGACAATGCTCACTGGAAGTTTTATGTGTGTTCCAAACATTTTCAGTCAGAATTCACATGCTGTTGTGCTGTAACACATGCACTGCCTACCAGATGGGTGCATATGAATTAGAAAGTGATGAGATTTGCTGACTGCATAAAGCTACTGTCTGCTTTTTTCATCAGTGTTCTTTATTAAGAGGCATTTTCTGCGCGAAAGCCTGGGTGAGTGATAGACTCCACATGAAGGTGCACCTGTTGGCTGAATTCTTAATCCTTAATCACCTAAATAAACATATCTTAGCACGGATCCTGACATATGGCGTTAGGACTGCCAGGTGCACATTTCACTGTTGGCAGTGGATTCATTGGGAAAGTGACCATAGCATGAGAGAGTTAGGAAAGGATTATGCTTTTCATGAAGTTATTTACAGTTCTTCCCCCACTAATATGAGAAGCTGCACTTTTACTCAGCAGTTCTGTACTCACCTAGCAAGCATAGCTTTGTTGTTTATTCTTGGACTTATACTCTTATACATATAAGAACAGTTTTACTTCTCCAGCTCTTTTCCTCCATGGGAATATGTCGAAAGGCTCAGTGGTTTTACACTCTACTCATGGAGAAGAAGAACTGAATTTAAGTAAAAACAGAGTACGAGCCCCTTATGCCAGGATGATCCCTATAAATCTTTTTCTTATCATTCTGTCACCTGATCAACTTGGATCATCATATGAGTTGTCTGTTGTGTCAAAATACTTCCATTCAGCTGCATGCAATTCCAGGTTCTGCATTTTGCTTTGAGTGCAAGCCCAGATGTCAATAAAGACAAAATTATTTTCTGTGGAGAGCTATAAATGGTGGCCTGATGTGTTTGATGAAATTGAGTGACTTTGATAACTGCCCCTTGTTCTAACTCCTGCTTACTCGTACAGGGATATAATTTTACGTAACAGATGTAACACAACACACTCTGCTTAAGCAAAATTCAGGTTTTGGGTTAGCACTTTGGTGAGATGAAAGATGCATATGCTTAGAAATCTGAAGCATCTTAAATAGCATTAAAAACAGACCCAGATTTTAAGTCAACAAAAATCTGACAAAATACAATGTTCATAACTGAATTCTTAATATTTCATATTGAGTGTAGTGTCCTGCAAAATGTAAACATTATGACAAAATAGACACAAGAATGCCTTTGGTCTTACAGAACTGAGTCTGGATCCTGCTGTAGCACTTACAGTGGGTGTTTAACTCTCACAAAGGACTGAGGCATTTCAGCTGGAATGCCTTCTCTATGTGAGCACATATGTAAATACAACACTTCAAGTGTCATAATGTACAGAAACTTGGCAAGAAACTGCACAGTTTAGTTACGCCACAGACATCACCCATTGCACGCTGACTTTATGTTATTTACAAGGCTGGTAACATACACTGGGTTAAGAGTTTGTTTTGTGTAAAATGGTTATCTTATCAATATGTTCAGATTCACTTTCCTCAACCTCATTCGCTTGTTAAGGGAATAAATATGTATTCAGATTCTGTGTTACCTTTTTAACTTAGATATAAACACTTTGCTTCCTATAAAACTGGTAACCAGGTGAGATGCAATAGCTGCAGCTGGAGGAACAGTACAGAGATGAAAGAGGAGATTGAAAGGGGTAAGAAGAACTAAAAGAAAATCAAGCACAGAAGAAATGAGAAAATCATAGTAGCTGTGGATAGGAATAGATGTTTCAGCCACAGCAGCAATCATGGGGATTGACAGTGCTAGAAAGAGATTTCCTTGAAAAAAGGTAGCTCCTTCCCAACCCAAATCAAATGTACCTGGATTGATTTTAGAGGCTCCTTACTGTAGTTCTGTGGCTATACAGAAGGATACTTAACTGCACAATGCACTGATATTGGCTTTACATACAGAAAAGGTTCCTGGCTGTCACCAATACTTTAACCTAGCAAAGACCGGTTAAATTGTAAGCAAAAGCACAAGGCTACCCAATATCTGAAGCACAGACTTAAGTCTTACTAATGTCTGGAATAAGGTGTGTCTCTTTTTAACTGTGCAAATGTTTAACCACTGAAACGACACACCAAGGGATGTGGTGGATTCATTATTTTTCAACAACTTCAACGCAAGACCATATCCATTTCTAACAGTACTGCATTAAATCATGGTACAGTCATAGGCATACCACAAGACACAAGACTGGCTGTAGGAAATCAGACTCCTGCTAGTCTCAGTATTTTCAGGATCCTCTCATGTAACTCCATGTAGGAAAGTCAAGGCCACATGTGGACATCCAAACAGAACTGAGGTGGGTGCATTCAAGGCATTTTGATTCTCACTGATGTTCCCTGTGCACCTTGCCTTCCCATCTCTCTCCTCCCACCCTCAGCCTCTGTGTTGCATGTCCCCACTCCCATCCACACAGACCTGGACATAAAATATGTCCAAGCACCCAGAGAAAACATGAGAGGCAGCTCCTAAGAGAGTAGCTTTATCTCAACTATGTAGCTCTTGATAATTGACCTGTTGCTGCCATTGCTGACTTCAGGTTTGTCTCTCTGCTCTGTTCCCCTCACCCCCAGCAGCCAATGGAGCCAGAAAGAAGTCTGCATGTCCATCCATCTGTCTATATTTCAAATTCACCTCTGACCTAGAGGTTGCATCTTGTCTCTGAAGAGCATGGTGTAAGTCCTAGGGATGGGGAAAGAAGCTGGGCTCTTCCCAGCTCCCATACTCTGTACCTCACTTTAAAGGATAACCCAGTCTGAGCAAGGTGTCCCATATTGAAATCATAAGTAACTAACACAGTGCCTCGTGATGCTTCAGGTACTTAAGGACATGACCCTTTCAGAGTGAAGTATGCCTCTGAAGGGATGGCAGAAATCCTCTTGCACAGGAGTAGGTAGGTATGTGGACAGTCTCCTTGCTCACCCCTTGTGCCAGCTTTGCAGTCTGGTTTCTGTTCAGATTCGTCAGAAAAGGTGAGTGCTGGGCTGGTGCTTCTCCCCAGCACATAGTTCTGGTCTGATCAAGTGACTGCAGCTGGAACATCATATACATATATGATAGAGAGCCTTTATGTAGAGACCCATGGTCGAGCAACACTTTTTCATGGGAAGAGAGTGATGGAGTGGGAATTAAAATGCCTTGAAAGCACCCACCTCAGTTCTGTTCAGATGTCCACATGTAACCTTGAATTTCCTACATGGAGTTACATGAGAGGATCGTGCAAATACTGACACTAGCACGAGTCTGATTTCCTTGTATCTCTGCTGTAGCTGCAGCATTGTCCTCTGACAGAAGGTTCCTGTGCTAGAACTCAGAGTGGCATGAGGTGGGGTTGCACCTTGGTGGAAAAAGCTTTGCCTCTTTTGCGTGGGAGTGGCTCTGGGCCCACAAGATGGCACTAACGGACAGCTTTTCACACTCAATTTGTGACACTTGGGGGCCTCCAGGTAATTTTTTTCCCTGCATGTCCATTTTGATTTTTTCTCTTTTTTTTTCTCCCATTTTTTTTTTTTTTTTTTATCTTCAGGCACAGAGCTGCTGCAGATGTGGCAGAAGCAACACCTTTCCTACTGAAGTTATTACCAGACAAGTTCCAGCTGTGGTAGATGCAGAAAATGTTGTGAGCAAGATGGCAATATGAAACTCACAAATAAAAGCAAATACATTATATCAGCATATCTGCAACTCTGCATCAGCTGCCCTGGACCACAGCCAGATTTACAGCTGTGGCTCAGTGTCTTCTCCAAAATAAGTATGGCTGCAGCAGCTTCCAACATTGCTGAGGGTGGTGCATGAGAAGAAAATAGTGCCGGTCTTCCAGATTTAGGCTTCTGAATTCCTACAAGCTGGAATTACTTTGACAACCTTACAAACTCTGTGACTGAGGCAGAACCAGGCATCTTTGAAACATACTTCATCTACCCCACCTTGCCTGGCCTATGCCATACCTGAATATATAAATGTGTGTGTATATATATAGATATAGATAGATAGATAGATAGATAGATAGATAGATAGATCCTGTTCAGCAGACCAAAAGCAAGAGAGATTCTTAGTTTCCAGCAGAGAAAGTATTTGATTTATTTTTATTTGAATTTGACTTCAGTGAAACTTTTACATTTGCTAGCACTTGGAGCACACAAGTACCTGCCTCCACCTTGTCAGACCCTCACCAGATGTACATTCTGGTGGCAGATGGGTCAGACTGCCACGCCATCCCAAGTGCAGATGGATGCTGTCTCAATGGAGAGCATTGGGTTACCAATTCCTGCTTTTCACCAGATGAAATCTTCTCCAGTCATATCACAGAGCTGCATGTGAGGGTTTACCATTAGTACATTGCTTAGTAAGTATAAAAAGATGTACAATACTACACACAGTGATTTTTTGCAAGATACTGCCCCATGGATTGTTTCCTAAAACGTATCCTGAGTGCTAGATGGAAACTAAACTATGTAATCTGTTTTGGTTAATGAGAGCTGCCCCTTCATCTTGGCAACATCTGTAGAACTGCAGCTAATTGACTAAGAGATGAATGACTGCTAAAACTCATTGGTGTGTCAGAGTAACACTAGAGCTCAAGTTGGGTGTTCAGGCTATTTTCTAGTTAAGTTTCATAGACTTTGGTGATTTTCTTAGTTTCCAAAGTTTCTTTTACAAAGAAGGTCAAGGCAAACTCTCAGACTCTCTAAACTGCAAGAGCAAATTCTTACATCTGAACACAAGCTAAGGGCAATGACACTGCACTAGCCTGCTGCTGTCTGCATGAGCAGGTTCTCTTGAGGGACTGGAGAGTGTCTGAGACCATAAAACAGAACTGGTATTTTAAATAATTTTGAACAATGTTTTGCAGTTCTGCTTTCATTCAGCTTTACAAAGA